TTAAAGAACGCAGTACACTCTTCGGAAAAGAGTAGGGGATTGTCTCTCAGTGTACTGTCCAATCACCACCAGAAGGACCCCACTGGAAATAAGTCTTCTTCTAGACTTTCGTGGGCTATCCTTGGTGTTTACACCGAATAAATCCAATCCAATCCAATCCAACCCTGTTCTTGAATGTGTTACCGGTACATGCTACTAAAAATATTATGACAGTCCTAAAAGCAAAAAAATTGATTTCATGCCAAGTAATTAAGAATATGAATAATAATTACAATAATTCAGTAAGTATTATCATTATGTTTATTTCACGTCCGGTCATTCCTATATAAATATCACATGATTGCTGTGGCGCCCTTCGCAATCATCTTTTGACAGCGTGAGTCAAGTCCTCCCAAATCTTTTCAACTCACGCTGTCAGCCGATCACAACCATTGCTTTTGAGTAATATAAACTTTGTTTCTTATCACTTTTCCATTTGACCAGGTAAACTTTTTTTCGATGCTGTTCCTGATCAATTTTTCATTCGACTACTAAGTAAACTTTCTCAATTTTGTTTAGTGACTTGAACAGTTCATGTGCATTTGTTTCTGGTTCGTATTTTAAAGAACATATTGAATAAAACAAACCTAATAAAAAAGTAAATAATCCAACAATTAAATATATACAATTGACAATCAATAGGAAACTTATACGCCTATAGGTCTGCTACTGAATTATAAATATTCTTGATAGGTAACAACTTGTTACATATTTATATCTATTGGTGGGACCCAGGTGCTAAATTGTAAATTCTAAACTGTACTTTATTTCTATAAAAATCACAAACAATAAAAATCAAGACACAAATATATAGTAGAAAATGAAGGAGATAACCGAAAGGTAAATACCGTACTGCCCAGAATCGGTTATCATCGTTATTTTTGTTAAAACAGTATATTTCAAGCACATGATAAAAGACCATTAAGAAGAAAATACAAATTTTTTTTAAAAAAAAAGCTCACTTTACCCCTCGACACCCCTCCATTGAAAATGTATAAACCAAAAAATCATGCTCAAGTAAATAAAACACCCCTCATATCACTTATTTTGGGACATAGCGCCCCTCACTTAATCATCATATAGGCCTATGCTTAAATATTTTAATGTGACACTGGATGAGTGAAAACAAAGAGTATAAATATTTATACTCTTTGGCGGGAAACACTGACTTTTAGTTACAGCGATTAGGTTCGCTTTTGTGCTTCCTTCCAGCTCACTCAGAATATTAAGAACGGTATGGATCTACCTAGCAACTATACAGCTCCATACAATTGCAAGATCCCTTGTTGTATGTCATAGTTCGCTGGGTATCTGCTGGTTCTGGTATCATTGCGAACACGATCGTCATATTTGTGCTTGTCTACAACAAGACTTAATTACAAGAAGTCTGTGTCGCTAATATTACTTTTCTATCAGACTGTGATTTATTTGATTGCCTTCATTATGTTTTTGATCTTCTACAATACTGACGGCATTGGTGGAAACATATTCTGTAAAATGCAATCTGTATTCTTTTACTCGTCAGCAACATCGACATTGACAATTTTTTCTGCTTACAATCGAACGATATACCGTATTGCTGTCGCCCATCCTTTATTGTATCGCCAGAAATTATTTGGTGGGAAAATCACATATCCACATTTTACAAATACCCTAAATAGGTTTAGTCATATCCAGTGAGAATTGTTTAACTTTGAATTACGCTTATTTCTTTTATGTTATACCTGGCCTTCCGTTGTCGAAATGACATAAATAAAACATATTTTTTGACATTCCTACAGTTTTTTTTAAATTACTTTTACGTGAAACGCATATTTATTATAATATCAGTATTAGGAAATGATTCGAACTGATTGAAAGCGAATAAAAAATATGTTCTATACATCGCGGACTGAACGACCCTACACTATATTACCTATAGATATATAGGCATGCCCCACCGATTTATTGAAGGAATGTACATAGAAAGGCTAATTAAAAAGGCGGAATCAATTATAAATAACCTATATCATCCTGGGAACGGTCTAATGTCACGAAGACAACATTTCAGATCCATAACCGCCACAACCACTAGCCCTATATCAATTTCCTCATTCTATCCATCTGCAAAAGAGCAGTCAAAAGTACATGCACACTACTACTACCCCCCCCCCCCGCCGGGGGAGGGGGGGGGGGTAGTTTTCTACCATAGTACCTTAGTTTTTAGTTAAGTACAGTTAGCTTAACTTAACAAAAACTAAAATATTTTAGGTTTTAGTTAAGTTAAATACAGTTAAGCCTAATATTCAATTTATAATGGTCCCGAAACAAAGACTTAGAAATCCTGGGATGGTGACCGGCGGGGGATAGTTTCACCTTGTGTAGTTCAAGTCATTACAATCACAATCTGAATTTTCAAGCCCCGAAACCTCGATTCAGGAATACCGATGGTGTCCGGCGGGGGATAGTATATTACCTGATGTTGTTACATTGTTACCCAGTTATTAGTTATGTTATTTATTTATGAACAGACCCTTGCAATTACTGTATATTTCTATGTAAAATTAATTTTACAAATAGAAATATTTTATACAGATTACTGAATAACATTATTAGCTATCGGCTGTTGAATAATTATTTTACGTTTTTGATATAAATTTTGGGCAGTAATTATCAGAGATCAATGTGCAAAAATCACGTTTCATCAACTCTTTACATGAAGAGATTAGACTTTTTTTTAGTTTACGTTAAATGTCAGGACCATTAAGAATTTTCATTGTTATGACAGTATATGCTATGACTTCAAGACTTTTTTTTTGGACAGTAATTATCATTCTGCTCTTTGTTTAATATATGTATATATATATAATAATATATATATATGTTTACGTTAAATGTCAGGACCATTAAGAATTCTCATTGTTATGACAGTATATGCTATGACTTCAAGACTTTCTTTTGGACAGTAATTATCATTCTGCTCTTTGTTTAATATATGTATATATATAATTATATATATATATATATATATATATATATATATCAGTGAAGTAATAACAAAATAACGTAACTCATGTAGGCCTATATCATAAACAATAATAATATATGAAATTGCCTTAAAAGTTAAATGCTTTAAATGAATAAAACCAATGGGAATATCGATTGTAATACATAGGATTAGGATGATTTATACTTATGCAGTTTAATATTAAATGTTCTTTGTTCTTCTTTTTATTTGTATATAACTTTTAAAAACACCACAAGTTTGTCCAGCTTTGGTGTGATATACAATAAGATAATCCTCACCACTCACTTTCACTACTTCTGTCAAGGAAGAGAGAGAGAGAGAGAGAGAGAGAGAGAGAGAGTTGGATTTTTAAAACGTGAAAGAGGAACTTTTTAGACTATGGAATGTTGTTTATTTCACAATGTTAGCATGAGGATGAGAGGATGTTCATCCATTAGCACTTTTTTCATGTTTACCCATATGACATATTGGCTTACTTATAGTAAAGAATCAAAAGTTATATCTAATGATAACTGATCCCAAAAAAGTTGTCAATGATTTACGACTTTTTAGTATACGCACTTCCTGTTATATTTAAATATTTAATTACCCTCGCCTCAACGACGGAGAGGTGAAGGGTATTGCAATAGCGCGCGTTTGTGCGTGTGCGTCTGTAGGCCTATGTCCTTCCGGGCGCATTAGTGAAAACTAAATAAACCGATTTACTTCAAATTTTGACAATGTTACCTATATGTATATGGGTCCTCCTCAAATTGTTTGCTGATCGGAGTTAAGATGCAGATTTTAGAAAGTTATTTATATATTTTCCGGCCTCCAGATTTGAGCGAATCGACCGCAAGACAGAGTAGGGGGTACGTGTCAAATTCTGGCCGGCGGACTGAAAGCGTGCGAACGCCTAGATTGATGAGCTTGCCACGCAAGGCCGCTGCTAGGCTAGGCCAAGCCTACTCGAGCGGATCAACCGTGGGCCGTATTTGTTCATTACATGATATGGCGCAACAGGGCGAGGGCTTGTAATCTCAAATTGTATGGTGATATAATTCTTTGCTCTGTCTTCCACTTTTAATTTCCACTTAGACGTATTTTCTGCAGTCATCTAGTTAGTCACTTTTTCGAAAAGTTCATGGATAAATATCAAAATTTATTTAAAAAATACGCGGTTGGATAACCTCTTTCCCCCAAATACAGTATTCTAAAATCAGAATCATGCTAACCGTTCTCAAGTACAAACGCCTTTCAGTGTCTTAGAAAAAAAAAATCAATTTCATTTTCTGCTGAGTCTGGCTTTAAACTGTTTACTTAGCTCTAATATGTGAATGCTTGATATCCCATTGTAATTCCCATAATGTAAAAAAAATCATTTTCAAGCCATTTGCTTGATTAATTTACTTAATATATGTATACTGATTAAAATTTGCAGAATTCAAGTACACTTCGCAATAGATTTGCAACGACAAATGATGTAGACCAACTATAATTTCACGAGTATGCTGAATACTCAGTAACAGAAACATTGGTTTGAGCAATATAATCAAATTTCCTTCTAATTATTTTTTTTCTTTTCTTTAGTGCCAACTTAAAGATTAAAACCTTTATAATAACACACACCATACCGTGTGCCCCGGATGAAGTAAGGTTTAAAACAAAGTGAGAGGAAATGCAGTGCCAAAGCCGAGCAAAATAATCAAGTTTTTAATGTTTGAACAGCAGGAGTGAGCTAGAAATTTTACAAAACTATCTAAATATAACAAAACATATATTTGTATACAGTGGCTCTGGTTCAGTAGGCCTATGTACGATGCAACCATAGAACAGGAAGCACAACTTGAGAGACTGTGATTTGTACATAACGCAGCTTCTGAAGGAACTTTCATTTTTTCCAGACACTCTATTGCATTTAAAAGACGTCAAAGAACAGTAAGTCAAATTAATCTTAAGAAATCTTAGGTTAAATATGTACGGAGTCATTTTGGAAAGCGTGTCTCAGATGATCAGGAACCATTATGGTGAGAAGACTTGGCTAGAGATCCGCAGTAAAGCCGACATTGATGAGTATACCTTTGTGACCCATGACATCTACGGTGAATGGGTGCTGCCTCAAATTACTAGGGCAGCGAGCGAAGTTCTTAGCGTGTCTGAGGATGAAATCATGAATGCATGCGGCCTCTTCTTCGTCTCTTTCATGTCCAAATACGGTTACGATGATCTCATGAGTTGCGTAGGCCGAACCATGAGTGAATTTTTCAATGAACTTGATAACCTCCACGAGTACCTCCGCTTCAGTTACCCGAAGCTCCGATCGCCTAGCTTTTTCTGTATAGATGAGAATGAGAAGGGGATAACCCTTCAATACAAATCAAAAAGACGGGGGTTGACCCACTACGTGATGGGGCAGATTACTATAATCGGCCGTGTTTTCTACGACATAGAAATAGATATTGAAATCGTAAATAACGTTTATAAAAACGGCTTTCAATATGTAACATACTTATTAAACTTCGACAACAAACATTTTCGAAAGAAATCTGAGACGGGTTTTCCCTTGATGGAAAACAGTTTCATGAAAAAGGCCAATTCCCTGCAGCCGACACATCTTTCTAAACTATTTCCATTCCACATTGTGTTTGACGATTCTATGACCATAAAAGATTTAGGTAAGTAAAAGGTTCTTTTGGTCTACGTTATTATTTTCTTTAACAGATATATGCTACTGCAGGGGAAGAGTGTTCTAAAGTTGATGACGTAACCGTATTCGTAATCGTTTTTATAAACTTACAAAAACTCCCTAACAGGCCCGTACGCAGGGGGGGGGGGGTACGACGGGTGTGCACACACACCCTCTCCCCCACAAATTATCAAAGGTCAAGATTTTCGAGGGTAGAAAGTTAAAAAATCACCACCATCCCCCTAATTTGTCAAAATTATTTTATAAAGAAAAGAAATTTATATTCAAATCTGAGAGTGCCATCTCCGGCCATCTAGAGATGCCATAATCATGAATTTTCTTACGTCAGCCCCAATAATGGATAATGGTGGGGCTGTGGTGTTATCAACTCTAAATCAATGCCGTAGCCAAGATTTTCAAACATTGCAGGACATCAAGGTGGACCCACTTTACACGTAAATTCAAATAATGTGGACCCAGTTTCTTAAACGTTGACCCATTTTAAGCAAAAATATAAAAAATCTGGACCCATTTTCTTAAACTTTTACCCACTTTAGGCTAAATAATAGAAATCTCTACCAAGTTTTCATAAACTGGACTCATTTTATGCATGAAATTGCATAATTTTGACCCATTTTTAGAATGTGGACCCATTAGAAAAATTGTGTGGGACTGTCCAACTGTCCCAATAGCTGGCTACTGCATTGCTCTCAATCTGTAAAATCCTTCCCTTCCGCCCCCCCACCCCCATATAAAATTCCTAAATTCCCCACTGATAGTGGTATTTCCTCTATCTATGAAGTCCCTCCCTGGCCTCTCATCAAATGCCTGCATCCGCCACTAAAACCGTATGCATCTTAAAAAATCGATTAAATATTGCCTCAAATTATCAAAAATGCCCCCAGCAGCAGGGTTCCACCAAGCACCACCCCCGCCCCCATCTCCGGCCATATAGAGGTGCCATAATCATACATTTTCTTACCTCAGGCCCAACCATGGTGGGGCTGAGATGTCATGGACTCTCAAACTGTAAAATGCCTTCCCTTGCCTCCTCTATATCAAATTCATAAATCCGACACTGACAGTGGGGGATTCAAGAAGCCCAAATGAATCTAGTTCCCCCTCAATTTTTAAAAATAAAAAATTTAAAAAAAATTGGGAAAAAAGAAAATGATATTCAAATTGTATGAGAGTTCAATTTCTGGCCATTCTGAAGGTGCCATGGTCATAAGTTTTCTTCCTTCAGCCTCAACCATGGTGGGGCTGAGGTGGTATTTCCTCCATCTGTGAAAGTCCCTTCCTGGCCCCTCTTCAAATTTCTAGATCCGCCACTGAAAACCGCATATGCATCTTCAGAAATCGATTAACTAAGACCTAAAATGCCTGAGCTCCGCCCCCTCGATCCCAGCAGGATCCCCTCCCTCTAAGCGCCCGCTTCAATTTTGGTCCAATCTCTATCAATTCGCACCCACCCATTAAAAATCCTGCGTACGGGCCTGCCTAATATCCTAATCTGCCCTACAAAGACCAGTTCGACGTTAAGGTTTCAAATTGGGTATAAGAAACAGAGGAATTAAAAATATAGCACAAATATATATCACCGACTCTCTTGCATGGCTGTTGAAACCACAGTTACTAGAGTTTATGAACATCTGATCAAATATAGCTTAAAATTTCAAAATTGAATGTGTGATGAACCTTCCGCTAATTCCGATCCCTTGGATATTGTTGATACGGTGTTGGACCTTAAACCGCGCAAGCATACGTGGACTTGTGTGTTTGTGGAACATGCGTGTATTCGTGGCTATCGACTGCCACGTCCGGATTTGTCAATTGATTCACACTCCGAAAAAGGTCTATATAAAAACTTAATAATGTAAAAACTGCATAGGCCTATAAACTATGTCTAACTTGGATGTTTCTTTTTCCTTTTCAAGGTGATGTATTCTACACAGCTATGCCATACCTTATAGGGAGACACATTGACGAAGAATTTGATCTGATAAGACCCTATATAGATTTTCGCTGGGAATCGGTGAAGTACAATTTATTCATGTTAACCTTTTCATTCTCAACAAGCTCTTTTACAGTTTTATTTTCGCATGTATATGTCAAACGTCAATGCATATTATAAACAACAAATGTTGTAATTTAACACTTATTAAAATCCGGTTGGAGTATCTGGCCATCTCCTACCGAAAATACCAAAAATGCAGACGACGCTTGAACCATCAATTTTGCTTATATATGCTTGCCTTGATCTTCGATAGAAAAGCCGAGCTGAAACTACGAGATAGTTTGTTTCATGATTACAATTCTATAATAAAATAATAATTTAAGAATACAAAACGCATGAAATACATTATACAACCATTTTCAAAGTGTACCTCTTCAAATGTAAACAGGTTTGTAATCAATGTTTTACGAGTTATTTATGTAATATTGGCTACCAATAAGTAAACGTTTAGATTTCCAAGTTATTCTTCTTACTCATAAATGCTTTTATGGACATGCTCCATTATTATCTCATCATTCATCTCACAACAATTATCTTTACGCTCCGCAAGGCAGTCGAACTCTATCAGGTTATCTGTTCCTTGAATGCTGCATTTCCGTACTGGCGAATGTTCTTTTTCTTTAGCAGAGATTAAGGAAATTTCTTCCCCCTAAACAGAGATCAACATATGATACTGATGCATACAAGACCCTCCTTAAACTTATTTCTTTAATCAATACTTCTTACTATATCTTTAAGCGCCAGTGACAAATAATGTTTTCTAACAAGTGCTATAACATTTCCCCAGTTTATTACAATTATATATGTGAATAAAACAGATTCAATGATAATTATGTAAATATACTTGAAGATGACAACTCTGTTTACAAAGTATGCGTTTTTATTTGAATATCAGACAGTCAACATATCTACTCAGATATTAACCTAGTTACAAACTTCAAACGCAGGCGATGTACATTATCACAATGCTCAAAACAGGATCTCTTAATCATAATGTTAACAGTCGCAATGATGGTCCTGTTTATAAACAATCAGAAAGAGAGTCATTACTGCCATCTCACTACTGGGTTAACCCGAACCGGCATGAGTTTTTAAGTTTGTTTAGAAATAATCATTTACAAATATCGGGGTTTCTCAACATTGATGCTAGATTAAGAACAAATTTTTCTTCAGTCTAAGGTTACTCTATGGGTCGGTGGCATAAATTGTTCAAATGAAATGAAATTTGAATAAATTATAGATAAATCTATCTCAAAGTGTACATGCTGGGCTTCATTTCAACTATGTCTAACTCTTACAGATAATTGCACATGGAAACATTGTATTTGTATTGAAAAATTTGTCACGAAAACGAAGCGGAACTGAAAATCAAAATTCATCGCAAGCAGGTAACATTTTACACAAGATTAATTCTGGCTCGGATCCATAACTTTGCACCGTTTGCCATGGCGAAGGTCTGTTTGAACAACAGAACATAGGGCTTTCTCTATTGCTTTAATGAAAAATAAAGTTGAAATTGCAACATAAAGAAAAGTCATTAAAAGCAGGGAAAACTGTTCCCTGGTTATAAGGTATTAAGTTAAAAAAAAACAAAAACGAAAAACCAATATAATTTTAATGAAGTGGAAAAAATGAAGAGGAAAAAAACCCCCGAAAAACAAGTTCACTGCGACGTTATTAGTGAGACTTGAACTATGGCTGCAATGGTAATAGCGAGGTACATCGTGACCCATCACCATTGTGTGCTATATGAGCCAACCTTCATAGGAAATTGCATTTTCAGTTCATAGCGATTCAATGACTAAAAAGCAAAAATTGTTCATGCATATCACTGTAGTTTTGAGTTTAACCTAGTTGTAATTGGTTTAAGCGCTTTAGAAAACACAAATTGCGTTTAAATAATTCAATCAACTGTCAACAAAAAATCTTTAAATGGTCCTCATATCCACAGCCTACTGCGGATTGTCACCAAAATTGGATCATTTCTTCATTTCACCATGAAAAACTATTCTGCCAAGTGTCATTTTTATCCATCTATAACTGGGATGTAAGCAATTTAAATGACCCTTAAATTTACACTCTAACATGGATCGTCCCCTACACATAAGAATATTTTCCTTGTAACTCGGGTTAAAATTTCCCGAAAGTTTCATTCGGATCAGTTAACCCGTTTCTGAAATATCTGGTCTGGGAAGTTTTCCTTTAAATGCTCCTCATATTCGCAAATTAGAACTGATCAAATTAATCTTGTTTTTATTATCTTTTATAATAGATGCAACGTCTATGGATATAAACTGTCTCTTATACACATCTAGATGTGTATAAGAGACAGATATATATATTTGTACTTTTGTTTATTGCTTTTCCTATCCATTTATTAATTCGTCCGTCCGTTCGCCAGTCATTCAGTACGCATTGAAACCTTCTGCTTGTCGGCATGCCTGTCCATCTCTCGATGTCTGCCCTATCGTTTGTCACATCACACACTCTATTTGCAAGTTACACCAGATTAGTACCTGAAAGGCATTCTGTTTTATTATTATTCTGTTTTAGGTAATGCCTGCCTCTAATTTCTTTCGTCTCTACCACTTAATGATATGATAATTTAAATAATTTCCAAATATATTCACCTGTTTGAATTACGATAATAAAACTGATCTTCTTATCTTATCTCTTTCTTCTGATTTCCTCTCTCTATGCAGGCCAACTCAACCTCTTTAATTTATTCATTTAAAATATATCGTATATTGTAGCATTATTTCAGTGTTTATTTTAATAGAATGAAAAGCTTGGACGTGATGGCTGCAGCTGGATTGTATATGAATGATTTTAGAATTCACGATTCCAGTCGTGATCTTATTATGGCCGGAACACATGTATCCCCTCTACTGAAGATGGCTCTTGACCAGGTATACCAAAAATAGTGCTGTAGAAACATTTTGCTGTTTATTATCTGAGACTGGCACTGTTACGTGATTCAAATTCAAATTGTATTTTATTTACACACAAGTTTCATTAAACAAGAATGCACTTCAATGCATCAATACAAGTTATTTTTTCATTAAGTAGTATTTAGTGTGGTGGTGAATCAGATAAGCCAATAAGGCTTTAGGGATCGACCCACCCCTTACAAATAAATACAGTAACTTTGAATACACCAGAAAACACTAATAAAGTCGCCGCATAAGCAGATAGTAAGTATTGTTCGTATTTTAATTTAAAAAGAGAGGTTCAAGGTGCAAATTTTATGTCTTGATGAAGCGAGTTCCAAAATTTAGCTCTATTATATTTAAAAGAATTACGACTGAAGTTTTAGATAAAATGTAATTATTTGAATTTCGTGTCTGATAATTATGTAATTCACTCTGTTTCATAAAGTAATTGTTAAATTATTTCGGAAGGTTACTGTCTGTGTATCTATACATAAACATTGCAGACTGAAGCCTATTGATATAAAAAATAGTTAGCGTCTTAAATTTAAAGAAAATGGGTTTAGAATTAGATAAGTATTCTAAGGGCCTTTTTTCTGTAATTTAAACAAGTGTTCTAACTTTGTTGTTTCTGTGCTAAACCGCGTGGACACAATTGCTGGTGTTTATTTGCTACAGTGCCCCATACCAGATTGCAGTACGTTATATAAGGAAGTACCATTGAATTATGAAAATCAAACGAATATTTAATGATAAACAGTGCAGAAGTTTCCATATGACTCCTATATTCTTAGATATCTGATTAGAAATTTTAGTAATTTGTTGTTTCCAGTTTAATTGAGAGTCAATTATAAAACCAAGAAAACTTGTATGGTCTGTTTCTTTAATTGTTAGGTTATCAATTTTAATAGTTAAATTATCATTTACCAGAGAACGTCTTCCCTGGTTACTAATATATGACGTTAGTTTTGTCAATATTCAACGATAATTTGTTTGCTTTAAAAAAACCAGAAACATTATGTTTATAATCAAAAAGTTTTGTTTTTATGTGAAAGAAATATATTAGTATCATCAGAAAATAGGCCTAATACATAATTCAGAAAAGAATTTAGAATATCATTTACATACATTAAAACGATTAACGGTCCTAAGCTGGACACCAGTGATACTCAACAAGTTGCCTCTAGTTGGTTAATAGATCAAGGGGGATTTATACCCCTTATACCATAAAGATAAAGTTTAGATTTAAGAATATTATGAATTAATAGAAAAAGCTTTCTATAAATCCGTGAAGGCTCCAATGGTATGTTTATTCTCAGACAGAGCTAAATAGAGTTTGTTACAAATATCTAATAATGCAGGATCTGCTGAATGTTGTTTTTATGTTGTTGAATGATTGTTCTTATGTTGTTTACCATCTTTTAATTTCCACGTGTTAAAATTAAGAGGTATCGCTCTATGTTTTTTGAAAATGTAAATATTCTTAGGTATAAACCATTTACTTACAAGTAATTATAGTTCTATCCAGCTACTCATAACGTCTGTTCAGCATCTGGATGAGTCCACAGTTACAGGGGCTGTGAGATGACCAGGGTAGCCACCTAAGGATGTACTGGGTTCTTTACAGAACACATGAGCCAATTGCGTACACTGTGCCTACGGTTTATAGTCCAAATAAAAGCAAAGAGTAATAGTATTGCATTCAAAGAATAACAATCAAAGTGTAGTAATGATAATAATATTAATATTAATACAAAAACGCTCTTGTCATTAGAAAGCGCGATAACATTGGCCACGTGATATAATGTTATAGGCTATATATATTCATAAATATAAATATATAGATATTGACTTGATTTAGCAATAAGAGTAAAAGAAAATCACAGCAAAACGAAATATACGAAACGAACAAATTAATTGCACAAATAACCAGTTCTAAAAGCAAGTATTATTCAGCCCAAAAATGGTTTCAAAGAAATGTATAACCATTTGGAATCTGTGTTTTCATTTCTGGCGTTTTCATCTTTAGGAACAACGTAAAAGTGCTCGATTGGAAGAGAGCATGAGACAGTTAGACGCAGAAATAAAGAAAACTGATGCATTACTGTACCAGATGATTCCGAAGCCTGTAGCAAAAAAACTTCGCAATGGAGACTCCGTGGAAAGTACATGCGAGGTAGGTCTACCATCTTCAAAGTTTCACAGGTTATGATGAATTAAGACAGCTGACTTAGCGTACACCACGCATACGGATTTCAGTGACTGAATTTGTAGAGAATAGATTGAGGTCAAGAATTAGTCAGCTAGTGTCCATCCATTCTTTTTATGTCAATAGATTTGGTGGTAATTGATTTTAAGCCGGGCACTCACTGCGCCGTATGACGAATGCAAGTCTGCTATCTGTGAGCGCTAGACGACTCGATGTTGTTTCCCGATTCTCGGTGGCGTTCTCCATATAATCACGTTGGCCGACGACAGTCAGGGCGCAGTTTGTGTCCGGTTTAGTGTTGGTCGACCTTGTGTCTGGTGTTGATTTTGTAGGGACTACCTACCCAGTGCCGCGGCGTGTTCGAAGCTCCAACCGCGTCCAGCTCTGGCTTAAATACAGTATCGAGCAAGTGTGTGGACACAATGACATGTCTTTTGTAGACCGTTGAATAGATATTTTGTTATTTTATATTGAAATGAACGCAGTACAGCACTACCCAACAGAACGATCCGATTTATGTTGACTTTCCTTCCCACAGGTGTTCCCGTGTGTGACCATTTTGTTCAGTGATGTGGTAGGGTTCAATTCCATATGTTCTAGAATCACTGCAATGGAGGTTGTTAAAATGTTGAATAACATGTATGTGAAGTTTGATAAACTCAGCGAACAGTATGATGTCTACAAGGTGAGCAATAAACATTACAGTATATCGGACGTGACGATGACGATGATGCTAACAATCACGACGATGATGGCATTGATGGATTGAATTGGATTGGTTTTACTCCATTTAAACACCAAGGATAACCCACACAAGACTTATTTCCCAGCGAGGTCCTTCTGGTGGTTATTGGGCAGTACACCGGGAGACAATTTCCCCATAGGCCTACTCTTTTCCGAAGAGTGTATGCGTTAATTCTTAAACGTGCACATGGGCCATAATGTAAACGGGACCAACGGCGTAAACGTCTCACCCGAAAAACGGTGTGCTATCCTAACTTGCA